AATTTAAACAAAAATGAATTGAGATCAGGATGGATAACTAGGCCAGTGGTTTAAAAAAAGAAAAAGATGGAAAGATAGGCATGAATGGAGTGGGTAGGAAAAAGCAGCACTAGATTATATTGGAATAACTGGAGACCGTGGGGAAGAAAGAGGAAGGTGCTAGAGGACACAGTGTAACAAAGCTGCAGAAGTGAGACCTCAGGTCCTTTAAGAGCTGAAGGGGTGATGGGCATTTCCACATGTGTCTGCTTTAGTCAGAGTTGTAGGAGAAATGGACTCTATGATTCTGAGCCTGATTGCACAAATGTGGAGATGGATGTTTGGGTCTGGGGGTTGAAGTGAGATTCAAGAAATCTTTAGTCGTACCATTTGTTTCCCTAGGAGAGGCTTTAAACTAGTGATCCTGGATGAAGCTGATGCTATGACCCAAGATGCCCAGAATGCTTTGCGGAGAGGTAAGGAGCTGCCAAGTACAGTGCGCTGACAGACAAGTGCACCTGCAGGAGAACTCACTTTGGAAATGAGAGAAGACGTGGCTTGTTTTCAATTTTGTTCATCTTCTAGCCCAGAGAAGTCTCTTGTGTACATTTCTGTGTGAATCCCACTGACCATCTAGATAAAATCTCTGCATTAGGGATTTCCCCTTTCAGCTTATAGTCCTGTTGGGACTTTTCAGTATGATGAGACACTGGTGTTTCATCCTCCTTTTCAACTGGGCTCAATTTCAGGATTTGGAATTTGTATTGTTAGATGGGAGGGTATGGAAACTTTCGTTCCTAAACTGCTGGCTAGACCTTTCTGCTGCTGGTACTCTTAGACACACGTTAGCCAGGAAAATAATACTGGAAAGGAAGTTGTACTCAGAAAGCTGACATTACTTCACTACTTGCCAAGTGAATGATGAGGCAGGGTAAGAGAGTATCCTGTGATTTGTTTGTTTTAAGGGCCTGGTGCAGTTAATTTCTTTAAAGGCATACATAATGTCTCATTAAGATTCTGAGGTGATCAGCTAGGAGAAAAGGAGTGGATTGCAGCCCATGTTTAAGAGGAAGAGGACAGTTAGATTATGTTCTGGTCCTGGCGTTGGCAGCCTTTCTTCAGCATCTTGTTCCGCAGAGTGATTGTCAGTGGGCAGATCCCCATGTGAGAACACTGGGTACCTCCAGAATGAAACTGGTGTTATAGCATCTCTGCATTCACATTGCTCTCTTGAATACTTTTCAAGGCTTCAAGGCGAGGTCCAGAAAGCCATTTCCCTCCCCACCCAGTTGAAGGTGGAGCATCATGAACCTGCCAAGTATTTTAAGCGAAAGGGCAGGAATACTGGACTTCATATCTTAATGGAATGAGATGACAGAGTGCAAGAATCATGGTGAATCATAAAAAAAGGGAGTGTTTTGTAAAATCCTGTGGAGGTGACATGTTCATCAGCTTTTGGAAAGACTGGCTGATTTCCAGTCCGGACCACTCCGGTGACACACTTTCTCATGGTGGCATTCCCCCTTACTTGTATTCTTGAATTCTTGTTTCCTCTACCCTTCATGTGACCATAGCAAAGTTCAGAATAGTTTTCTTTTTCTTTGCCAGTGATTGAGAAATTTACTGAAAATACCAGGTTCTGTCTCATCTGTAACTACCTGTCAAAGATCATCCCTGCCTTGCAGTCTCGGTGTACAAGGTTCCGATTCGGTCCCCTGACTCCTGAACTCATGGTTCCCCGCCTAGAACATGTCGTAGGAGAAGAGAAGTAAGTATACGGAAAAGCAGGAAAGGCGAGGGCCTGGAGGCCTAAGTGCGGTGTAAGCAGGGTTCTGGGGTGACTGACTGGTTTACACTTACAGGTGATAATGTTGGTAAATGACAGCAGAGTGCGGAGCACAGGTGAGCATCAGGGGCTGTCATTTTCCATGGTAGCTCATGTACATTCTTCATGAAATTCATTTGGTTCTTTTGATTCCATCCTCCTCCCCTGGAAGCTGTCCCAGTTTCCTCCTGCTCTTGTCATTGGAAATTGTATGCTGCCAAGTCCCTCTGCTAAGACGCCTCTAGCCCTTTTTGATTAGAAAGGAAGGTACTGAGATATTACATTCTGTATAGTCAGATGCCAAGCAAGTAGCCAGCCCAAGATGCTGCTTTTTTGAAAGGAGGTGCTTTGGCTGTGTGATCATGAATCTTGCCATGCCCTTTCCTCTGCAGATAATAACATTCAAAGCCAGTTTGCTGGACATAGCCAATACTTGGTCTTAAGTAAGGGGCCTCCTAGACTCAGAGTGAGCTGTGACTACCAGTGTGAAGCATCCCTAAAACCAGAGTGAATTCTAGACCCTGTAGATCAGGGGAGTATTGTTCACTCCATCCCTTCTTTCATTGTGTCAAAGCTGTAATTGCTGCAGGCCATCTTGTTCCCTCAGTGCTTGTGCTCAGCGGCCTCTGCATCCCTTCTGCCTCTCCTTTCAGAGTTGACATAAGTGAAGACGGGATGAAAGCACTTGTAGCTCTTTCCAGCGGGGATATGCGAAGGGCTCTGAACATCTTGCAGGTACACTACTACTTGTGGCAGATCTCAAGGTGTTTCTGAATAATTTTTCAAGGACATAGCAACAGCATAATCTATCTGTAAATTCAGAAATCTACAACTGCCAAGACCTTGATCTCATAATGTGCCAAATATTTCTCCCCACCTTTTGTGTTTTGGTTGAGAGAATAATTTGTTGCAAACAAGGGAAAGATAGGGAAGGATGCTGTGGCTGTAATATCGCCAACAAACAGTGGCGTCCTCTGATGAGGCCAGCTCTTACCAGTGTTAAAAATGCAGGGTCTGAGCTGTCCTGTGCCCAGGTAATGTTGTGGCCCACCTGCGTTGCTGCCTTAGTTTCCCCTTGATCTCCCTGCAGCTTGGCAGCTGCTCTGACAGCCACCATGACTCTTCCCCTGTCTGCACAGAGCACCAATATGGCCTTTGGGAAGGTGACAGAGGAGACTGTCTACACCTGCACAGGGCACCCACTCAAGTCCGACATTGCCAACATTCTGGACTGGATGTTGAATCAAGACTTCACCACAGCCTACAGAAATATCCTTTCTCGTGTCCTGTTGGTTGCCTATTAAGTGCCTAAGGCCCAAACTTGGCCCCAGGAACTTAGGCTGCAGCCAACACCTGCACCCCACTGGCAGGACAACTGGCTGTGTGGGTTCTGGTCTTGTTTGTAGTGGGGAGCAAGATGTCTGTGAGTGGAGTGGCTACTTGTCTTTTAAAGCCTCAAAGTTCTTCCTGAAGGGCTTCCCGGCTGGGGAAGCTTGAAGCCACTTCACTCACAGGTGGGAGAAAAGCAGTTAGGCCTTGAAATGGAAAATGTGATCATTTCTCTGTGGACAGTGTTAACTCTGTTTTTGCTGCGAAATTAAAAGCTAGAAGTGTAGTGACAGGGTGCCTTTTAGAGGATGCATTTGGCTGTATTCTCCACTAGACAGAGCTATAGCATATCCTTCACAAGGCCCTTTTGAAGATGAAAACATAGTAAGAATTAGGGTGCAACATGTGCAGCTTCAGAATGAAACAGCTGTGTTGGGATTAAACATCCTGCTTTCAAAAGTCCCCAAGGTTTGGAGTCAAACTTCCCTGCACCATGTTTGTTCTGCACCTTGGTCTCTTCACCTTGACTGCTGCTCTCTAGATATTATGGAATTGAAAACTCTAAAGGGGTTGGCACTGCATGATATCCTGACAGAGATACACCTGTTTGTGCACAGAGGTAACTTACATTGCCTAGTCTAGGTGCTGTGGAGGAGTGACATGCTTTGGGGCTAAGGTGCTTAGAGGGGGACCATGAGGCTTCACTGTTGAGGCAAAGGAACAGGAATAAAGAAAACCTCATCCATTTTTAGTTTTTCTTGCTGTTATTTAAAACTTTGTTTAAAAAATACTCTTTCAACCTTGAGAACTATTTGGGAAGAGAATGGAAACCCCTGAAGGCTGTTTCCTCCTCGGTTTGTATTTTACAGCAATAAGTAGTATATATTCGAATTCATGTATCTAGAAGAATATTTACCCTGAGAGGAGAGAAGGAAGATCTGTATGAAAATCAGAGCAGTCTTACCTAAACCATCTCCAGTTCCATGCTTGGTCCATCTTCTATGCACAGAAATGGTTCTCACCCCGACAGCACACCACAGCCCCTCGGCCAGTCCATCCGGCCTTCAGGGGAAGCGGTCATCAGGGTTTGCAGGCTCTCCAGGTGGTCTTTTGGGTGGTGGCCTTTCAGGAAGTCTCTTCCCTCTACACCAGCAGCAGGGAGTTGGGTCCAGATGTAGGTTCTGCTTGGTGCTTTTCGAGGAGTCTTCCTGGTTGACTGGCACATCCTGCCCCAGATCATGGTCGGCATAATAAGCCCACCTCTGCACTTTGTGGAAGCTGAGTGTGAACGGGCTTTAAAAAAATCAAAAAATGTTTATTTTTTGAATTGGGAGCAGTGAGAACTTGGCTTTCAAGTAAACTTACAGAACTACCCAGTTGCTAAAGAGCACTGTTGATGACTCCTGTTTATTTGCCAGTTTTTTTCCTTTTTTGGCTACACTGTGAAGACTCACAGTATGAGTGGATAAAAACTGAAAACCTATATAGTTTCTGCTTGCTTAGAGGTGTGGTATCTAGTGATCTGAGGCCTCAGAAGTTTAGTATTATCTGATGTTTAAATTCAAATGTGTCCTCTGTGACTTTTTTTCTTAAATAGGAGGGCGTGAACAGACCTTACTCATTTGATTTTGTCTCTCCCCCAGTTGACTTTCCATCTTCAGTTCGCATACATTTATTAACCAAAATGGCAGACATTGAGTAAGTATTTGTTTCCCAAGTTTCTTTTCCTTTTTTCCCTGTTGTGAGTTTTTTGTTTGCTTGGTGTCAGCTTCTTTAATTCATCCATATACAGTATGATCTAGTTTGGTGGGATTACTGAATGAAACACGGAGAAGGGTGTGAGTTGCTTATTTAACGAACATATGAATAAAAACAAGCAAGCTCAGTTATGTATTTGAGATAAAAGCCCCTCCTTGAGACCCCAACACCTTGGTCCACATTGGTTCTGGAAACAGTCTTGTTCCTTGGAAGGTGTGCTTCAGTTGAGACCCCTAGGTTGTTCAGGGACAACCAGCTCTCTAGCTCTTAGGGCATTTTGGCACACCACTGTAGGGAAAGCAAACAAACTCAGTTTTCTACTTTGCCTGGTTCTGGAAACAGTTATTAGCCCTCAGTGAAACTGGCAGCTATCATTTAAGTGGACAAAAAACACTGGGTTCTAAATAGACATCAACACAGGCCAACTCTAACCTGCCACCATTGGCTTTCACGTGCAGAGTAGGTCACTTCTTACCACTATGTTGTGAATATCATGATGTTGCTTTCAATGACTGGACACTTAAAAGGTGTCCTTCAGTGGATTTGCCATCTTTGATCTTTTTTCTTGCAGGAGGCTGCTGCTGGTGATATTTTCTAGTCTTATTTTTCGTTTCACTCCTTTAGGTACAGACTTTCTGTTGGCACCAATGAGAAGATTCAGCTGAGTTCCCTCATTGCTGCTTTTCAGGTCACCAGAGACCTGATTGTCACGGAGGCCTAGATGCCCAGGACCACTCACTGGTCCTCAGACCCCACAATGACTGGAGAACAGGGGACTCAGTCACAGGATGAACTGCCGCCCAACCCAGGGGATGAAGCCACAGTCATCCTCAGTCTCCTGAAACCCGCAAATGTTTGAAAAGTACTGTTTGGAGCAGGAATGTACACAACCATTTTAATGTACAACTCTCTTACTGCACTATACCCATGGTTTTAGAGGGGGAAACAGAGGCAGAAATTCTTTTTTTCAGCCTTAAGGTTTTCCCTTTAAGTTGCTTAGGTAACAGGAAGTTGGCCTATCCCATTTTGGTCTGGAAGAGAAGGCTTCCAGATCTAATACGGTCCAAATGTCTTCCACCTTAGGGTAAACCAAACATCTCCGAAATTAGAAATCTCCAAAGTTTAGAAAACTAATTTGTGGCACCATCTCTGAATCTAGTTTAAATAGGTGTTAATGGATTTCTGGCCTAAACTATTATACTCTTATAAAATAACCTCAATTCTCTTAAAAACTGGTCTTTTTATTTCTCCTTTTTAAGTCCAAGGATTACTAGCAGGTTCCTGATTATGGTGTGAACAGAGAGCACTTTCACTTTCGCTTGCGCCCCCTGGGGCCAGATGTGGTGCCACACTCCTCTGGGGCAGGAAGGGCAGGTTAGTAGGGTAAGCCTGACTCACCTGCCAGCTGCTGAAAGGGTCAGGACTTCAGTACCAACATAGCCGTTTATTTCACAGTGATTCTGCTGCATGTGTGATAGCACTCTTCACCATAAAAATAAAGCGGCTTGCTTGTGGACTGTTACAAGTGACTTCTTTCCTTAGCCAGTTTTACAGGCACTTACTTAACCTGATCTTACATGAAAAAGCTCCTCCATCTCTGGTATCACAGAACAGTCTTTCTTTGGAGTCTGTTCTGTATAAAGGCATCAAATTCTTATACTATCGAAAGAGATTTGTTACTCCCGGCATTCACACAGGACTTGCTCCCCCAGGACACCGGCAGAGCCACACAGGGCTTCCTGGTAGCACCCAGAGCCTCAGCCTATGCTGTGTGTGTCATTTCCAGATAACTGTACAAATATGCCCAACCCATTCCCAGCTGTCCTGCTGCACTCATTTTAAAAGGTTTTTTTCCTTAGGATAAAAAAATGGCGAGCCAAACTGACCTTATCCTTCTGTGAAAGCCTCTCATCTTGAAATGCTTTTCTTCAGCAACAAAGGTGGCAGAGGAGAGACTCCTCTACTTTTTCAACAGGTTTTATAATATTACACTGACCTCCATAAAGCACCTATTAAGAAAGCCAAAGGATATGATGTTGCATTTCTTTTAAAATAAATATATTAAATTTCCAAAGGCAGACTTGTCTGAATGAGGTGTCTTGATTAGTAACTACACACCACTGAAGCAGAACAGTACTTGTAAGGGGCTATTTTTGTTTAGGGGTAGAGCTGAAACTGGCTGATGAGTCCAATGAGGTGAAGCAGCAAAATCAGATCATCTCGTCCACAAGAAAATCAGCTGAAGGGACAACTGTTTACATAATTAAGAAGAGACATCTTCACAACTGTTCAACAAGTACTATGGTTTTTAGATACCATCAAGAAAAACACAGTTGTACCTTAACATCTGTTGAGAAAATACAAATAAATAGGCTACAAATGGCAGACAACCAACAGCTCAGTAGCCATTTAAACAGTCATGCAGGTTAGGGACACATCCTTGGGTAACCTGACACACAGATTTGTCATCTCCTGCACATGCATACACCATTGTTAAAAAAAAGCCAATCATAGTGTCTTAATCAGCCTGGAGTACAGCCTCTGAGTCACCTGTCATTTAGTTAAGCTAATACCTCTTCTCAGATGGCGCCATGAACTGTCCTGCTGGTCCGAGGGGAGCCAGAGGAAGGAAAGCGCTTGCCAGCATCACTGACCCAGCAGGACAGGGGTTCTCACAATGCCACCACTATGTCTGAAACACATGGTAAGTCCTAGGCAGAAGCCACACTTCCCAGCTGAGGGAGCGTCAACTTCTCTGCCACTACACAGAGGCTCTTGAGGCCCTCTTACTCTTATCAAAACATACTCAGTAACCGTACTGTGAGTCAGAAGGACTAGAGCGAGTTCAACATTGCTGTTTCTAAGTGGACTGAAGGTGTAAGGCTCTGCTGCCACTGAAGTGGAATCCCCTTGGTGACTGCTTTTCACGTGTCAAGGAGAAAGATCCACGATTAGCCCACTAGAATCTGGTTTTGCTACATTCTATTCACAATCCCAAAGACAACTTCTATTTCAATCCAAGAACAGATGTTTGGCCCATTATGCCAGCTATTCTTTTGCCAGGAAGATTTTATCCTGCTAGAAAGAAAGCAAGTATAGGACGGCCGTGTTGCTTAGAAAGTCCTGTACGTGAGGAACCCTTTCATTTTCTCGGGGATTGGCAGTGCTAGCACTTGGTAGGTTGTCAGGAAACTTCGAAGGGCTTTCCGGCATGAGTGCTTCAGTGATGACAGGACCCGAGGAGCTGTCCAGAACTGGACGTGGCCATCCCTCGTTCTGAAACAAAACAAACCAGCCTGTCAAGACAGATCTTGTAAAGGTTTTCACTGGATGGATGTCAATGTTCCTATTGTGACCTGCACCAGCAGAAGACTGGAGGGTGCAATGGAACCCTTACTATGGAAATGACATAAAGGCTCTGCACTTAAATAATTAAGGCTGCTGAGGGGATTCTAAGAGCTCAAGACACCTTTGATAGCAACGTGCTATCTCTGTCAGCACAGCCCTTTCTAACACACTGTGAGCTTAAATCTAATGGAAGAGTGCCACCTACTGAATTACAGATGTTTTCTGTAAGGTGGGCTGTGCCCTTAATGGTTTCCCACTGAATTCTGCATCACCTTAATCTCTGCTTCCTTGTGGACCTGGCCCATTAGGTGGCATGATCTGTAGCTCTTTAATTACTTTTAGATTAAGAATAAATGACTATATAGGCAGAACAGAACAGAACAGGCAAGAAAATTCTAGATGCTTTCTTTCCTTAAAAAGCTACGTGGTACACTCAACAGAAATCACCACCCATCTGTTGAGCTAACAGATACATACCCTGTGGCAATAACTCCACCATGTGGGAAAAATGTGCAGCAAAGACCATTGGTCATAGGAGCGAATGCTATTGGAGTTTTTCGTTCCAGGGCCCAGATCCTGAGGAGTCTGGACAACAGAGAGAAGCATGTTTGCACATAAGCAGACCCAGGGCCACACCCCAAGGGTTATGATACAACTACTTGCTGGCACTTGCTTTGAGAGGCCATATAAAGAGATTTCTATTTCTCTTCATTACCTGTCATCCGCCACTGTGGCAAGGTACAGGCCCTCGGGCGAGAAGCACACAGACCTCAGAGAGCTGATGTGGACATTACTGTCATCCACACGGGGGTCGAGCTGGGTGTGGCTGAGGAGAAAGAAACATGACAGGAGGCCTGGAGTGATGGCCACTGTCCACCCTTCCCCTTCATTCCTGGGCAGGGGACCAAATTGCTGAGACTATGAAAAGGCTGAAGATGCTTCTTGTACCCACATGGAAAACCTTGGAACAGGAGTGGAAAAAAGTGCATTTCCTAAGGCTCCAAGCATCTGGAGGAGGGGATGAAGGGTCACTAACACTTCCTGTGCTAATTTCCTTAGGCAAAGTGGGGCACCCTTCACTTTAATGCGACAGTAAAAACGGAAAGTCTTTTTAGGCTAAGATACATGATAATTATAGGACTACCTATTAACTTGCTTCAGAAAACAACAGAGACAAGGGAAAAAATAGACCAAGTTTGTGAGAACATGAAATTCATTTTGGAAATAACAGTTTCAGTAAGAGGATCATTCTGAACTTGTTACTACAGTTATTAGTAAATGGAAAGAAAGAGTCACTTTGAGGTTTCACAATGTTGAATCCAAAGAAGTAGGGCCAGCCTCCCCCATCAGGAGACTTGAAGGCAGGCTGGTCTCATCTGAGAACTGAACTGACAAACGCTACTGCGTGCCAGCGCCCTGGGCAAGCACTGAACCCACCGTGTCTTTCACCCAGGTTTTCCCCTCCCATGGCCCAGGTGCTAAGAGGGGCATGGCTAACCCAAGGCAGGTTTCGCATCAGTGACCTTGAAGGAAGTTGTAAGCAGGGATTCAGCCCTTACCGGAGTGACCTCAGCCTCTCGCCAGTGTAGGGGTCCCACATGATCACGCTGGTATCGTAAGAAGCCGTTACAAGCAAGGCAGAGTCGGGGGAGAAATCACAAGAGACAACACTGCTTTGGTGGCCCTCTAGCTTCCGGATTAATGTGTAGGACCGCATGCTCCACAGGAAGACCTGTGGAAGGTAACAGGTGCTCTGTTAGGGGCGGAAACGGTGTGTAGAGGCACAGCCAAGGCCCTCCTCAGCCTGCAGCCAGGAGAAGCCACATCCTCCACCCCTCTTTTCTACGGCTCTTCCATAAGGTGTCACATAGTAAATAAAAGAAGAGGTCTGAACTCTTGAGATGCCTAACCAATGGCCAGGCTCAAGGAGCTGACTTTAAGAAAGAATCAACTGAGCAGACCTCAGGGAGACTGCCAGCTAAAACGTACTAGGAGAGGCTTCTGAACTCTGCTCCTGAGTGCCGCCTGCAAAGCAGCAGTACCTGATGAAGACCACCTAGGCCAGGGGCTAGCTTATCCTTCCTATTAAAACCAGTAGGGGCCAGAAGTGAACTCCAAGGTGCCCACCAAAGTGGCAGCCCCTGCCAAGCCACTGTACACCTACCATGTGTTTACTGGACCATGGAAATCTGCCCAAGACTGATATCTGACACAGCTCATCACTTTAAACCTTTCTGACAATCATTAAAAGTAGGATTTTGTTTTCTTCAAGAAAACTCTCACTTTCACATCGCTCCAAACCTCGCATGAATCGTTAACTGCCTGAGCTGTACCACACAGTGAACCCTCTCAGCTCTCCCCAAGCCAGCCACAGCCAACAGCTCGGCACAGATACCAAACTCAAACAAACTGTTCTCAAGTTGTTCTTGGGTTTCTAGTACTTTCAAAATAACAGACAGGATTTCAGGACAGAGTTCAACAAGTAACTACATTTTACAACCTGAAATGGAAATCCTAATTAGGTAGATTCAAATTAGATGGCTCAAAGGAAATCTGGATCCATATGGGGGTTTCAAATTTTCCTCTTCGAATCCAAGAAGAAAAGAAATTTAAAAAATACCCCTTTACCATTTTGTAGAAAACAGCCCTCTGATAATGGCAGCCATCTTCTTAAACACCTCTCTTCTGGTTCACGTCAAAGAGCAATAAAAACAAGGAGGCGCACAGGAAGAGGCACGTATCAGCCCTTCTGCTGGGGCTGCTATGCAGATGGATTCTGAGGACACGTCGCTTAGTCACCCTGTCACTCACGAGGCTGCTCAGGCCTCCGTATCGTGATGAACCGAAGCAACAGAAGCACCCGGTGTTCGTGACTTACCGACTTCTCTCCAGCCGCAGAGCACAGCATGCTGCAGTCCGGGGAGATGGAGCAGCAGTAAACCCACTGCAGGTGGCCCGATAACACCTGAATCTGTTTACCTGGCATAGAAAAAGGGCAAACAAGCAGCCAACGCTCAAAACTACAAAGCAGGAAGGCCGAAGAAATGGTAGTAGTGTCCCACCCACCCGGTATATCCATCCATCCAGTTCTCTATCGACTGAGCCCAAGACCCACTTTTTTAATGTTGAGAGAGAAATAACAGCCTTTGTCATTTGAACACCTGAAATTTATCAATACACTATTCTAATGCTCAAGGAAATCATTGCCTTCTGTATCACCAAAATCCACAAGATCAGTGGGATAAAGGCTGTATACACATCAGGTCTGATAAACCCCTCTGGCAGCACAGAACATTCTTGTAAGGTTCCTAACCACCTCAAGTACTTAGGAACATTTTCCCAAATTTGAGAGTGTGCCCATCCTCCATTCTCCACCATTTAAAGTCTGTAGATGGTTTCCCCCTCATTACAAGGACCCCATGCCAAGCCCTCACCCTCCTCCCATCCTCACCAGGGTGTCCAGATGAAAATGGTGCACAGTAATTAGGACCATGTGCTCTGGAGTCAGGCAAACTTGGTTTGAGCCCTGGACCCACTTTTAATTCAGCACATAACCAGGGGTCAGTCATGTATCTCTGCAGTTCTCAGTTTTTGGAAAAAACCAAATGGCCACCCATAAGGGAAGAGGTGATTAAATGCCATTACATCCAGCCCTAATTCAGATGCAGTTAGGGATCTAGATTTTCCATGGAGTGAGTACTGTTTAGTTAAAAAAACAAATAAAAGAAAAGCTGCAGAAAAAATGTTAAGATATCAATCCATTTCTGTGACACAATGACACCACCATCCATAAATGTGAGAGTGCAAGTGGTCTGAGTAGTTATCTGAGTATAGAGGTTACTACAGAAGGCTGCTGGCATGGGCTGTAAGGCTGCAGGTGGATTAGAGGGGAATGCAATGCAGGGGAGGATGAGAGACAGAGATGAGCAGGTAGAGGGACAAGCCACAAAGATAAAGGGAAATAAAGTTTTTAAGAATGTATGGTTGCATATATGTGTTTAAGAATTTATGTGTATGTGTGGGCATAATATTTTTAATAATTTCTTCAACTATCAAATAAGAACAGTCCCTGCCCCCCAAGGAGGTGTGTGAGTGTTAAATAAATAAGGCAGATGGGTGCACAGGGCCCAGCACCTGGGAACACTACTTTATTCTCCCATCCATGAAAAGCCCTGATAATTGGCACAGTCCATTCTGCCCACTTGCAGTCCCCTTCAGCCGGTCCACCTTTCCCAACCACCAAGTGACCTTAAAGCCACATCAAAGGCCCCTCCTTAGATAGCAGCAAGCTGCACCCGGACACACGTGAAAAATGGCACTGCCTTTTTTCATGAGACGCATTCCCTGGCAGCACACCTATCTTTGATTATGTGACTTCAGACTCCAGTTACGAGCAGAAGCCAACCTGAGTTCTCTTGGTGATTAGATGCCATCAGACAAGGACATTACAAGCACCTCCCTAGCTGTCTGACAAGTCACCAGGCTCATTTCTAAGACAGCAGGAGACAGGTCCCCCCTCGTGGCTGTGGGGAGCTGAAGTCTTGGCTCAGGCAAGATCAGGCACGAGCAGGTCTCTTCATGAGCTAGCCACATCACCATTTCCTCCTTCCACCTTCCTCAAGCCTGTGTTCCTGTCCAGTGCAGGAGAAATGGCTTGGCTAGAAATTCCCCTTCCCCATATGACCTCTGCAAGTAAGGATCTAGGCCAGAGATGTGTGGCATTCTTTGTTGGGCCACTCCTGTATAGAGTTCTGCTCAAGGCAGAATTCCACAAAAGTTGACCCTCTCTAGCCTGAGAAAATTCTTCAAGGCAAAGATTTTACTTCATAGAGAACTCTTTATTTCTGACAGTAAGTAGTCACTACGTACAACTTCTTCTAGATCAGTGATTCTCAATGTGGAGAGACTTTGCCCTCCATGTGGGCACTGGGCAATCAATGTCTGGGGAAATTTTTAGTTGTCACTACTAGAGAGGGTGCTCCTGGCATCTAAGGGGTAGAGGCCACGTATGATGCACAAGAGCCAAGAATGTACGGGACAGCCTGTAACAAAGAACTATCCAGACCAAAATGTCACTAGTGCCATGGCTGAAAAAATATTATTCTAGAGCATGTATTTTCAATAGGGGTGACGTGACACCAACAGAAGTGAAAATTGGTTTTTGGTGGCCAAAAATTTTACCATTTTTCACAGAGCATTCATTTCATAAATAAGTAAACAGTGAATCTTTTGTATTAAAATTTCATGGGGTTTAGCGGGTGGTGATTAGGAAAAGATGTCCACAAAGGCACCTGAGCAGGCAATAATACAAAAAAGATTGAGAAACACTGTTCTGGGTAAAAAAAAAAAAAAAATGATGTTGAGAAAGTAGAGAAAGGGGCAAATACAGTATTTTTGGAATTGCTGGATAGTTCCATCACCTCCATACCATGTTTCTTCAGGTCCCAGATGCGAAGAGTCTTATCCCGAGATGCAGAGACCAAAATCAGACTGCCACTGGGTGTGAAGCTCAAATCTCTCACGACATCTTGGTGGCCGGAAAGAGTCAAAAGCAGCAGCCCTGGCGTGGAAACAGTAATAGTCAGTGGGAGAGGGGACACCGGGTCTGCTGGTCCTTATACCCCTTAGCCAACTGGGGTGCTGGGAGCCCTTCTGGTCTCTATGGGAACATGCACATGAGCCTCCCAGGACCTATTCCCAGCCAGAAACGACCTACCTGTCTGCACCTCCCAAATCTTGATCTGCCCATCGTTGAGGCCCGTGGCAAGGATCAGGCAAGAGACGTCTGGCACTTGGGGATGGTGGCGTGCCCAGAGCTTCCTGCTGGGTGGAGAAGGCCACGGGCTAAAGGCCAAGCCCCAGACAATCTGCCCACAGTCCAGAGTCTTCTCCTTGGAGCTGCCTTGCCCTTTTGAATCATTCTTGCTGCTTCGGCTTTTGGCTTCAAACCCTTTGGGGATGCTGGGGGAAGTAGAGATTTCTTAATGAGTCTGAGTTGTTAACAAGCCAACCAACTTTTCATCCTTGGGTATCTAAGACACTGAAGTTCTGGAAACAAAATAGCCTTTGCTGAATTCCACTATGACTTCTTTTTTTTTTAGAAGTCATGTAACAGGGTTCACTGGCTTTAGCTCATCCCATCTGTGACAGCCCTGAAACGAGGTGACCTGCCTTGTGGGAAAACTAGATCATAGATGCTCCAGGGGGCTGTTCGCTTCCTCAGAGAGTTCTCATGGGTTTGGTGCATGGGAGGAGAGATGCACTTGGTTTTTCCTGTGGGGAAGAAAGCATGTTCTAGGTTGGAAACTAGGGCAGAACCCAGATCCTGAGTACCCACCTGCTGCTCCCCTACCTGATGAGCCCCTTTATCTCTAGCTTAGAAAGTCCAGAGGAACAGGAAAATGAACTCCTTCTGGCCAACACAGCTTGTTTGGTATACACTGATTTCCACCACTACTCACTATGTTCCAGTCAAGTAATGAGGCTCTTTCCTTTATTTCTCTGATAGTACATCCAGCCAGAAACCAACTGGTGGGGTAGGCAGGGAGAGGGAAGAACCCACAGAAAGTGCTCAGGGGTGCACTGACCTGAAAGATCGCCTGACACTCTCCTTTTACATTCTACTGAGATTCAGCCCAGATACAAGCTAGGGGGACTCACTCCAGAAGATACAACGCCCCGCCCACCACTCCACCTAGGAAATATCTCAAGCATTCAGCTCCCAAACTCGGTTTCCTAGCTGTAGTAGACTTTATCAGTGAAAGTATTAAGTCCTACTTTTCTGTGTGACCCTGACCACACTCTGGAGTATATCAAACTAAGAGAAAAATAGACATCATAAAGCTGGAACTCAGATCCATGAAAAATCCTACACTTAATGTATACGTAACCTCTTATGTATTAGATTTGTTCCCAAGAAGCTGCAAATCACATTTCTTGTCAATTGTGTGGTTGAAATGTACTACATAATTTCAATCAAGCTCACCTATAAAATTAGAAGGGAGGAATTGAGGCAAATGTAGGCACCTTCAGCTCTAAAAGTCTCTTAATCTAAATCAGAGGCAGGCCACTGCCACGGTTGCTTGCTGACATACCGTCAATGGCTCCCTTTGCAATTAACAGCAGAGATGAGTAGTCCTGACAGGAGCTGTATGGCCCCAAAGCCAAAACATTTACTATTTGGGCCTTTATAAAAAAAGTTTGCTGATCCAAGATCTAAATGGCCAAATGTAGTTCGAAAATTTATTAGAAATTCTGACAAAACCTCTAACTGTGGTTGCTCACGGACATCTTTTTGAATGGCCCTGCTCAGTCCACACATCTCCCAGACCTGCCTGCGGCACAGGGGGCTGAGTCTGCCACCCAGGGAGGAAGCACGGGAAGGGCAGGGAGAGTTCATAGGGCTGCCTGGAAACTCTCAAGTTACATTTGTTTTATTTTTTATAAAATCTTAATTTTGTAACTTGTGTATTTAAATTAAGGAATGCATCTGCAGCTACTCCACTCCAAAGGACTTAAGGCACACACAGATATATATAAATTTATTTTAATATCATACATTTGATTTCTCTAGAAAGAGACACTGAAATCTTCATTTTAGGGGTACAGTTAACTTTCCAGGGGTTACATCAGGGGCAGACAGAGAACTAGAACTCAAGCCTTGTATAACCCAGCCTAGTGCTCAACAGATTCCCTGGATTCTGGGTGTGCTGATTAATCAAAGGTAAGTTACATGGGTAGTGGGGAGGTGTAAGCATGGGAAGGGGTGGAGAAGGGCAAGAGATTCACTGGGAGAACCTAACTTCACTGAAATTAATGTTTCTAAACATGTTATTTGTAAAAGTAGTACAACTATTTGATAGTATCAATTATTTGCTTAATACTGAAAGTGCCATAACACTTTAAAAAAATGTGTACACCATTAAGAATATAAAGGCCCCCTACACTAACCCTTTTAAAAGACTTAAAATAACAATTATTTTAAATTATAAAGATAAGAGAAACATGGAGAAAATCTGCAAATAAGACAAATAGTAGAAACTATCAATAATCCTACCACCACTCTAAACACAAACCCTTCCCTGAAAATTTTTAATTATGAGTATATATGTAGGTTTTTAAAAAGCAAATTTGGGATCATACTGCATGTATGGTTTTATAGCTTACTTTTTTTCAGTAAGCTGTATACTGTAAGCATTCCTCAAGTTATTTTTTTAAGATGTAATTTTTCCCTAAAACAGGTAACTTCTCACTTAATATTAAATAACATTTCTCTTATTAAACAACAGGTATACAAAAAGGGTTAATATTCAAATTTCATTTTACTCTTATTTTAAATAAACTTTTTCAGGTTATAAATTTATATCAGATTTAAAGACCACATATGAAGTTGGGTCCTTTATATAGAGGATCAATAAATAATGAATGAACTTGGTATTACCATTGAACTAACCACAGCAGGAACTGAAATCATGATTTACAAAAACACAATTTTTGATGGCTGTGATATTTTCATATGGCCATGTCACAATTTCTTTCACCTTCCTGTCGTCACTGGATTGCAAATGATTTCTGATTTTTCACTACTATATAATTAATTTCATGATGAAATGAGTGTATGTAAATAGATGACCCCATTTCTGAGATTCCCAATAGCTGGAAGAACATTTTTAAAGTTCCTTGATGCATACTATGAAACTGCCTTCTTTCCAGGAAGTGCACAAATTTACACCCCTCAATCCCAGCAGGGTGCAGAATACCCATCTCAGCAAATCCTTGTCAGCATAACCTACTATCAAGGCAAAGAGTTTCGGACTGAACTTACAAAAAACTTTAATATGCATTTATAACAAATGCCTATTAGCAAAGCAAATGAGACTCTCAAGGGCAGGGTTCATGTTTGATTTATTTCAGGATTCTCAGCCCCTAGCTCAGGGTCAAATGTTGGCTGAACAAATAAAGACAGACAGAGAGTTGCTCTGGAACAAATGAAAAAGTGCAGACAGATGCTGGGCCATCTGACCAGGTCTCACTACATTCAGAGTGAGGGCCCAGCCCAATGAAAGAAAACCAGTTAATGGCAGAAACTTGTCAATAATACAAAGACAAATACCCAATTTAAAAGTGGGCAAGGGATCTGAATAGAAATTTCTTCAAAGAAGATATATAAAGGGCCCATAAGCAGGAAAGATGCTCAACATCAATAGCCCCAAAGGAATGCCAATCAAAGCCACAATGAGATGCGGCTTCACACCTACTAGGACGGCCAGCTATAATCAAAAGAGATAAACAATAACTAGTGTGGACAAGGATGTGGAGAATACGGAACTCTCACATCTTGAGGCTGGGATTGTAAAATGGTGCAGCCACTTTGTAAAACAGTCTGATAGTTCCTCAAACAGTTAAGCATATGGAAACATATGTCCACACAAAACCTTGTACATAAATGTTCACAGTAGTACTATCTATGACAGCCAAAAAGTGGAAACAACTTAATGTCTACCAACGGATAAATGTATGAACAAAGCATGGTAACTCCATACAGTGGAATATTATTTGGCAATGAAAGGAAATGAAGGGCTGGTACATACTACAATGTAAGTTAACTGTAAAAACATCCTAAGTGAAAGAAACCAGTCAAAAAAAGACTACGTAAGTGTAATATTTGATTTATATGAAATGTCCAGAATAAGCAAATCTGTAAAGACAGAAAGGGGATGAGTGGCTGCTCAGGGCTGGGGAGTGGAGGGAGATTAGAGGATGATGGCTGAGGGATGTGGGGTTTCTTTTTTGGGGTAATATAAATGTTCCAAGATTGATCATGGTGATAGATGCACAACTATCTATATAGTATATGAATATACTAAAAGCCAATGAACTGTACTTTAAGTGGGCAAATTCCTTATATAAAAATCGTATCTCAAAGCTGATAAAAAAAATAAAAGGTGGGACTAACAATCTCAGTAAGAATTAATTTTCGTATGTACAGAATGTGGGACTCTGGCAGCCCCAGCGATCAACTCGTGAACTGTTCAGCCATTTCCCTTCTGTTCTTGGGCAGGGAGACCCAAAAGGGAACAAGTAATTTGGGCTCACGTTCCCCATTGTGAGAACTCACATGATCCTTTGGGTGTGGGAGAACTTACAATTGCTCCTCCAGCGGCCAGGGGAGCAGCTTGACAATGCAGTGTCCTTGAGACCACGCGAACCAGGAGCCATCTGGGGAGAAGGCCACACTCCAGGTTTCACAACTCGACTTCCAATCAAACTGTTGGGGGCGCCCAGGCTTGAGTTCGGCCAGCAGCAGTGGTTTCTCTGGGACAGGAGACAGCATGCTTCAAACAAACACCCTCACTTCCCCAGGGAAAGTGGGGAGCCAGGCTTCCGACTACCTTGCTGACTCAGACACAGGAAAGCCACTGTCTCCCCCTGGTAAAGAGTAACCCTATGAACTGCAGTAGGGAGTAGACAATTAAATGACCCAGGGCAATAACAGTAGCCAAAGGCCACATTCCAGCGCGGTCACTCAGTCCTGACCTCCCAACTGCTGGTTAACCGTGACTCGGAGTAACCTTTGGGCGAGTGAACCCAATGAATGGAAGCCTCATTTTCCTATGAATGCCTCAGAAGAGGAAGAAAGGAGAGACGACCAGGCTAAGATCCCGCCAGATGGTGAGGGCCAGGCCTTCCAGGGACTCTAAGGTCTCCCAAAAGAACCTGCCCCTGGGGAACAGGTGACAGAAGGAACGTAGGAACTCAAAGTCTCCCTCTCACTCACCAGCACCCTCCCCACCATCAGGGCGAGAACGGTCAGCCCTTGCCCAGCTTCCCCTCCCTCGGCCTCCATCTGGCCTCCCACTTCCACCTCCTCTGTTCTGGGGTAAACCTTCATCCCATCTTGCCGAGATCTTCACTAGACTCTCCTGATTCGTTCTCCTACCCTCAGGGACCCTGCTAAAGCCCAAACCCACATCACATCACCACATTTCTTTCAAACACTTTCCAAGGCTCCCACCTGCCCCCACGTGAAGGCAGCTGGGCCTGGGCCTCCCTGCACCATCCCCACCCTGTCCTCCTCCTTCCCCTTCCGTCTCCCGCAGGCTGCACTCTGGCGGCCACACCAGTCTCCCGGTCATACCCCAAGTGGCTCATTTCAGTCCACACCTGGCCTCATTTTCTGCTTATGAGAATCCCACCGAGATTAGCAACTGAGAAGCTACCCTCATCTCACACTATCAAAGCGGAAACAAGTCCCACCCTGCTCACTTCATTCTCTCCTGTAGTAACCAATCTCCTTCCGGCCCAACCCCCAACCAGAATTTAAGCACCCTTGTTCAAACGCCACACGATTTAATCTCACCCTTGGGACCTAGCACACTGTTCTTTGTGAAGAGGAGGTGCTGGATTCCCCACGCGGAGGGCAGTTCCCAGCTGTAGTCTGCCCCAGTGGAGCAGCCCAATGGCAGATAAAGCCCCCAAGCCAAAGGCCGGCAGAAGTGATTTTTCTGACCACTTGTGGTACACACCAACATAAAAACTGGCTTCCAAACTGAATCAGGTCACTGCCTGATGTGTATGTTCCATTTTCATAATTTCAAGACTGACCCTTTTACGGCTGTTACCAGATAAATACTAATTGAAGCAAATCCTATTTCATGTATTTTAGGACACACCTTTATTTCTTCTCGTATTTTGACCTTGTTAAAATCAGGATGTGCGTCCTAAGCGATCGGCTTTTCATAGTTAAACAGGCAGTATTTTTCCTCTTGATAACATGATGGCTATATGATCCATGTCTTGGATTTGATGAAACAGATGGTAAAGATAAGATGAATATATATATATTAATATTTATATGTTATGTACAGTATTTTCTGGTATGTGCACTATAGGAAAACACATAGATATAGCTTATTTTATAAAATAAATGTGTTACTGAAAGTTGTTTTCAAACAGAATTTTAATAAATCATACCAAGCCTTTGGTAGCTTTGCTATTTAAAGAAAATCTAAGGAGGGTTCCTTTTTAAAGAGAATATTCATTCCCTGAGGTTGTATGTATAAATCTAGGTTTTAATATATTAGGTCTAAACTGGTGTTTGTGGAGGCCAAGGTAATTCCTCCTAGAAATCTGTATGTATTTGCACATGTGAACCTCTTATTACACAATTACGTGCTATATGAGCATATTCCTCTGGATGTGAATATTTGCATGGTAAAAAGTTACTTCACATTCTGAATCCAAAATAGTCTCAGTGGCATGTAGTAATTCTGCAAGTTTTCTTCACTCTTCTTCATTTCTAGTTATTTTCTTTTGGTGACATAGCCCTTATCTCTTAATGCCTCCTTCAGGTAGTCCAGTGGTTCTCACCTGGGGCCATTTTGCCACCTGGGGACATGTGGCAATGTCTGGAGACATTTTGGTTGCCATATCTGGGGTGGTGCCTTGACATCTAAAGCGTAGAGGGCACAGATGCTGCTGAACATCCTACAGTTCACAGGACAGCCCCCCACATCGAAGAATTATCTTGTTCAAAGTGTCAAATAATGTCGAGGTTGAGAAACCCGGATGTAGTCAAATATTAAATGACATTGACTGATCTGGAGGTATATTTTCACCAATTACCTGGATGAAAATTTCTGTATTCCATCCTGATAACTTGGGTCACTTCCTCCATAACATGCACATTATCCATCCTTTTGACACCATGGAGGCTCTACACAATATAAAAAGGAGTCATCTTTGATTTGTCTTTTCTTTACCTCTCAAACCAAATCCATTAACAAGTTCTATCAAGTACATTTCTGAAAGATTTTGGCAAACCTAACTTCCCTCCATCTCCATAGCTACTATTCTAATATATGCAACATCACCTCTCACTAAGCAGCCTTCCAGCTGCAGGCTTCCATTCTGGCCCCCACCATCCATTCTCCTCAATTTCCACAGTGATCAGTTTCAATCACTCTTAGAATAAAAGCCAAACTCCTCATCCTGCCATCAAAGTCCTACCTAACCTGGCCCCCTCATGCCTTCACCTCCCCTCCTGGGCTTTATATCTCTCCTCTCCCTGCCCCTGCCCTCTAGCACACTAGCCTCCTTTCAAGCCTCTAGTATACTGTTCTCAATTAGTTCCAACCTCAGGGCCTCTGCACCAGCTCTTCCTCTTCTCATAGAATGCGCTTGCATGAGTAGCACTTCATTCATATCTTGGCTCAAATAACAGCTCCTTAGAGAGCCCGCCTCCTCTGACCCCAAGTCCATCTCCTTCACAACTCCTCCATTTTTTTCATATCACAATCACCATTATGATTATCTCACTCCAACTAGGACACCAAGTGCACGGGAGCACAGACCGTGATATGTTTATCCCCAGTTACTATCAGTTTCTGGCAGAGAGCAGGCAGTCAGTAAATATTTGTTGAATAAATATACACAGTATATGCCTCTAAATACAAATGAAATGAAGCCTCTTAAAACTATTGTGATACCTACACCAAACATTTCACATGAAATGCTTCTTAAACAGGAGCCATACCCAGATTTCACACTCTATTTCTGTGATTTAAGGATTTAATCTCTGGCTATTTCAGGCTCAGGAATCCAGGGGCTAAAAGAAGAACCCAGTAATTCCTGTCTCTTAGTTTCTAGAACCAAGGAAATTCTGAAGGGGAGTCTGGGCCCAAACTAAATTTGTCTGCTGGAAAAGTAAGCCATAATTAGTGCAGAACTTAAAAAAAAAGGTGTTGAAAGAGTCCAACTTCATCTGGGATTGCACCTGCCGGAGCCTTCTTGGTAAAAAGGCCTACGGATCAGGATTTTCTAATTCAGCCCTGGGATGTGTTGGGACAATCAGACTGGAAAGATATTTTATCATGGGGCCTCTGCTGTGGAAGGAGATTTGCCTTACCACAAAGATGAAAGGTATGGCTGCAACTGGCAGGAAACTTGGTCATTTGTCCTGCCTCAGCATCTTTACATTAGATGTTCCATTGGCCTGAAAAATTGCCTGGCAGGCCCCTGATCTTTGCCTGGCTGCTCATTTTACTATTCAGGACCTGATGCTGTCACCTTCTCAGAGACCTTCCTGACTTCACTATCAAAAGTGGTTCAGTCACCTTGCTTCACTCCATTTAATTTTCTTTAAAACCATCACTCACCATCTTTCCTTGATTGCTTGCTTGTTGCTTTTATATATTTATTCTCTGTTCCCCAGGCAACCTCACCCCAAACTTGTCTATCTGTTGGACTGCCCTGCCCAATATAGTAACACTAGCCACACTTGGCTACCGACCATTTGCAATGTGGTGAGTACAAATAAAGATGGGGTGTTAAGTATATAATACACACTGTATTTCAAAGACTTGGTACAAAAAACTGTAAAATATATCAGTAATTAGTCATGATTACACATTGAAATGATAATGCAAAATTTTAGGTATGGTGGCTTGACAAAGAGTTTTTAATTTCACCTGTTTCATTTTTTTAATGCCACTATTAGAACATTTTAAATTACGTTTGTGGCTTGTGCTACATCTCTTGGACAATGCTGCCCTATAGAGTGCCTTGCACATAGCAGACACTCACTAAATATTTGTTGAATGAATAAATGCATTCTAACCACTGCTCTGAAGATATCTACTGTTGTTCATTGTAATGTCATTACAATGGGCTTTATTCAGTTTCAAAAGAACATAAAATTCTCCAGCCTTTTTTTTTTTAACAGTAGCTTGGCAACTCTCAACAGCTTTGCCCACCCCCACAAACACAGTCATCAATCCTAAGGAAAAAATCAGAACTGGAAACAGATTCCTGCTGGAAAGGAAGGCTAGCTACAGATAGTTTTCAGATTTAACTCTCTGGAGTCCAGGGACATGACAACGAAAGCTATAAAAAGGTTCACATAAGATTCAGACAAACACTAGGAGCCATTTAAAAAGAGTTCTATGGGTAACACACACTAAAAAGAAACCCCTTATCTAGATGGGAAGGCAGTGAGAGCTGCCTCTACACCTTTTATTGAATGTCTGATCACTGCAAACAAAGAAATGTCATTTCCCAAATTAAAAAGTTACAGCACCCCAGGGAATACCCTGGTTTCAACATACCCACCCACAATCTCAGCTCCATCAAACAAGCCAGGTAAACACAAACATTGACAATCAGAATCCTCCAGACCTGGACGAAGCTTCAACTTCACTGGAAGAATACAAACAGGTTCTGGAACAAATTCTGAGCTCTAGACCTTGACCCCCTCCTGGGACTTTTCCTTAAGGAAACTGCATTTGAGCATGGAAGTATGTTCACGAGTTGGGACTCCCAGAATAAACCCCAAGCCCACCCCAAATTTCTATATAGGTGGGGCTTAGGGGCAAGGGGGTTGGAAGGGAGGAGCCCGACAGATTTGTCTGGAAGATCTGCCTTTGCATAGCAAGCACACCATTGCCACTGACACGGAATGCTCATTTGGGCTGACTCTCCAAATACACCCAATATTCTCTGACCTCCACACCGTCTACCGATGATAGCTGTTAAAAAGCATGGAGGCAAGTACCTCACCCATCAGTGTATCCTACACTTGCCCTACCATACAAGTCACCAAGAAGCATCCCCGCCCTGCCTCGCCCCACCTCTACGAATCAGTCTGCACTGGGAGAGGCTCGCAATTTTTAAAAATAGGGATCCTACTCTTAATATAGGCAAGTCTGGGAAGCTCCCAACCACCCACTGAGACAGGTATCATTATCATCCCATTTTGCAGATACAAAGCAGTCTTGGGTTAGGCGGCTCGTCCGCGATCACACAGCTTGTAAGGGGCAGAGCTGACTCCCACCCAGACCTTGTGAGTGCGTCACCTGGTACCTGAGCACCCGCCCCCTTTTGGGCTTGGTTCGCCCCCGCGTCCCACCCGGGCGTAGGTGTTGGGCCCCAGCAGTTCCCCGCTGCCCCGAAGGATGGGGATCCCCGCCAAGCAGAGGCCCGCTCTCCCTGGTCCTGTCGGCGGCGGGAGAAGGGGTGGCTGCGGCTGACAGCGAAAGTGAAACAAAGCTGAGCGCAGGGCGCGCACCGCGCCGCCTGCCCGCGCGGATGGCCCAGGGCGGGGGTCCCCACGCGGCCCCTCCCGCGGCGCAGCCCGCCCCCACACGACCCCGGGAGCACGGGCCTGGCTCAGGAGGGAGGGAACAAGCGCGCCCGCCCCACTCACCTCCGGCCTCCATGGAGGACGCGCGCGGCCTCGCGGCAGGCGGCGGGCGCCTCAGCCTCCCGGGCCACCGGCCCTCATGCCGCCCCCACTCTTCCCGCCCCCGCCCCGGCCCCGGCTCCGGCCCCGCCGCCGCCGCCGCCCTCGCAGCCGCGCCCGCCGCTGTCCGGAGAGGCCATCAGCTGCTTCCCGTCACATGGCGGCGGGCGAGGGCGGGGACGCGCCGGGGCGGGGCGAGGGCGAGGGGCGGGGCTGAGGGGAGCTGGGGCGGGGCGCGGGGGAAACGGGGCGGATGGGATGTAACGCGGGGAGAGAGGGGCTGAGGGGAAGACGGAGGGCGCGGGGGCGGGCAGGCAAACGGTGGGAGGGGCGGAGGGGATAAGCAGATGTGGCGGGGCTGGGAGGAAAACGGGGCCACCCGGACGGACACGGAAAACTGCGGGAGCGGGGCTGGGCGGAAAATGGTGGCGGGGAGAGGCGAGGGCTGGGGCCGAGGGCAGGGGCGGGCCGGTGAACTCCGCCGGGGAGAAACCAGGAGCGGGAATGAGGGGAAAGGCGGGCGCGGGAGCCGACAGGAAGGGCAGCGGGCACCGGGCGCAGCCGGCAGCGGAAGGGACGCGAGCCGGCTACCAACGAGCGGGTGGAGGGGGTGAGGAAGGTTTAGGCCAAAAAAATGAAGGGGGTGTGGCGGGGAGAGGGGCTGACGGGCAAACGCGGGAAGGGAACGGAATAGCTCCGGTACTTGAGAAAACGGGGGGCGATCAGGGAGGAGACTGTCGGATAAAAATGAGGACCCGAAGACGGGGGAATTGGGGAGACAAAACACGAGGACAGAATTGTCGGGCCCGGGGGCCCGGGGAGAGCCGGGTGAGGAGCGTGGGGGGCGGGGAAGTAATCAGGCTGGAGGATAAAATTGGGGACCTGAGGAGACCGGGGCTCAGAGGTTAAATGAGAGCCAAGATAGAGGCTGGGAGTGAGTGGAAGAGCTGAGGAAGAGGTAAGCCGCGATTTTTAAAAAGGAAACGAGGGTGAAAAGCAGAGCACGCCAAGGTTAAAATGAGGCAGGGGCAGCCAGCCAGAAGAAAGAGGGATCTGACAAGAGCTGAGGGTCCAAACATGGGCAAGCCGGGTAAACGGATGTGACCGAGGAGGCCTGCGGCGGGACACAGGTGCCTCGGACCGCAGGGAAGAGAGGTGGAGAAAGACAGGTAAGATGTGGGGGCTCAGAGAAAAGGTTTGGCATCAACACAAACACCATTAGCAGAGAGGGACTGGGTTAAGAAGAACATGGGAAACTGAAGTTATGATAGAAAACATAGGTTTAGTTAGAAGGGAAGTAAGGTTAAAATGGGACAGCCAGCAGGGAGGGAGTGGACAGTTAGAGCAGGGAGTAGGCAGTGACCCAAGAGGAAGAGGGAAGGGCTTGGGCTAAGGAAGAACTTAGGGGGGCTACAACAGGAAATGGCCCTGAACTGGGCCAAGAAAGTGGTTGGTAAAGTGAGACACTGCGGGGACAATTAGCAGAGCCCAGGGAAGAACTTTCACCCTCCAATTACAGGGACCAGACAGCTTGTAAAAATTGTCATGAGTCCATTAGTTATGTCGTTTCCATGATGATGCCTACCCTAGCCTTAATGTCAGAAAGCATGCAGTCTGATAAAAAAAGAGGCCTCTACAAAAAAATGGAGGAACAAGTTTCTCAGGGAGATTAGGAAAGGCATGGTATCTCAGTAGGAGTGAGAGAGTGGATAGTATTTACAAATTGTGGGAAAGAATAAAATGGCAACAAGGACAATATTATTACCCATAGTGTTGGGAAAGCTAGTAAAAACGGAGGAGGTGAATTTCCCCCAATTTTTCAGTTTACTAATCAAGCCTAAATCAAGATGACTGAACCATTTATTTAAAAATAACTTTATTTCATAATCTTTAAAAAAAAATTCACATAATCTCAGAAAGAACTTCTCCCAACCGCCCCCCACCCTCTTTCCCCAATCCCACCAACACACACCAAATATGAAAATGTAAAGAATGCAGAGGGAGCTGCTTAATTTTCTTTGCAGCAATTCCTAGCCAGTCCCATGATGAGAAATACCAGTGGGCATTTAATGCATAATAAACCATACCCAGCAGGGATGATTTTCCAGGGTTCAGTGCATGGACTATGGAAATTTTCCATCGTGCTTTTTCCTGCTTCAATAATAGGGCCTATGTGTGCTTGTGAGAATTGGAACTAATGTCAAAGCCACATGACTGCAAGAACCCTTGCCCTAATGTCCCCTTCTGAAATGTCAGTTGTAAAAGCCCTGAGGTATTTATCTTCCTGGTTCTGATAAGTGGATCCCTTGGTCTTTGATTTCACCATACAGACAGATAAGATTTTGTAAAAGCAGTGTAACTAACAACTTGGACTTTGCCACACAAAGTCCGTAACCTACTATCAACATGCTTGTGGATTTGGGGATCATCTTAAAAGAAAAAAAAACCCTAATTCTTTTAAAATCCTTCCAACTTGAAACCTCCCAGTACCTGGGCTCTTAACTGATTCAGCCTTATGAAGGTGCACACAGGGCTCAGAAATAAACGACAGCAGTCACAGCTCAGCTGGTCAAGGGTTTATAATGTTTGGCACCAAGACCATGAAGCTTCCATCTGATAGTGGAAAAACCCTGCCTTGAAGATTTCCTATCATCAGGTGTGCGTGCAAGAGAAGAGGGACTGCAGAAAGCCCCTTAGTGATCTTGCAAATCATTCTCTGTGTTCCCAGATAGGGACTTTCTTTTCCTACAATTTCTCTTTCTTTTCTTAAAGATGGTTGCTTTTGCGTAATGAAATCTTAAATTCAGAAATTTAGTCATGGAAGATTCTAAAGTGAGGGGAGACTAGCTCAGTGTTCAGTGACTCTAGAAGTAACCTAAGGATCCCGTTCTGAAATGGCACTAACTTAAGCTGGTGAAGGTGGTTAAGTACATGGAGTACCATGTAGCAAAAGACCCAGCCCACAAGAACTGTGTTCACAGATATTCCTGAAGGGTGGAAATTGTAGCCAGCTCCTGAGCTCTCCAGAGTTCTGAACTGGGGACAGAGCTAACTTCCAGTGAGTTGCTCAGTTTAATCCCTTCATCCAAGAAAATGGATCTCCCCCAACTATACCTGCAGGGTACCCCTACAGAACCAGCTTCCTTACGAGTCCCAGTCCTTGTTACTGAAGAAGGGATGTTCTTCTTTAAGCCCTACTTCTTGCCCATTAGAGCAGCATGTGCAACAGTGAAGAGTGCAAATTCAAGTCAGATTTTCATGTTTAGCACACATCTTTTGCACACTCATAAGGTCCCTAACATTTGAGATTTGAATGAAATCAGAAAAAATCCCCATACTGTACAGGGATATACTGGAGTCAGCAGCAGCTTGAAGTCAACACATGCTGTTTTCATATAAAACTTAGCATTATTGGTTAGTGTAGCCTCATAACATCCTTACTAAGTAGGAAGGAAACAAGTTTTCCTGTTCCCATTTCTGAGATGAGAAACTAACGCCAGATGAACCAGCCTGCCCAAGGAATACTTACCACCAGATACTCTTAACAAAACATTTCTCCTGCCTCCTTTCCAACCCATTGAAGAAAGGAAGAATGTGCAACTCTGAAAGCTACTAGTGAGTCACTTAGAGGCTTTTGTGTAAATATGCAGCTCTGCAAAATGTAAGGTTCTAATGAAAGGCACTTCTTCTTATGGGCGCCTACCTCTTTGGAAAATAGTTCAGGAGAGCTCTGATAATGCCCTCATCTGAAACCAGTCTACAAAGAATGAAAGGCCCAGACAACAGCTCCTAACTTAGAGGTGACCTTGCTTCCTCCACTAGGGAAGGCGAAGGAGAAGACAACCAGCATCCTCTAGGTCACCTTTACATCCAGAAGGATCTCATTTCAGCCTCACCACAACCCTGTAAGGTAGGTGTGACCTCCCCTATTTTACAGATGAGGAAATTGAGGCCCAGGGAGAGGTAAAGCAACGTGCCAAGCCCATGAAGCAAGTGGCACAGCCCAGATGTTTCCAACGCCCAAACCTGAGCCAAATGCCTCCGACTAGCTGGGCAGTTGACACCTCTTCACTTTTCCAGGGAGCTGGTATCTGCCTGACGCAGCTCACCTGGGCAGTGAGAAAGGAAGTGTCCCTATCACCCCACACTATTCCCTGGTTACAGAACTTTAAGCGTGGCAAAGGGCACTGAGGCCAGGTGCTTTCCCCAACTCCTGCTCCCTCCAAACAGGAAACAGTCAACCTGGATAAAGTCAGAAGTCACAACAAAAGGGACACCTCAGATGCCAAATACAGCTTCCCACACACACTGACCATTCCCAAAGATTTTTCCCATTACTGAGAAAGCCTACAATTTAGAAAAAAAAAAAAAAGGAAGCTGTGTGTGTGTGTGCACATGTGTTTCTTTTTTGCTGAGAGCTCCAAACCGTTTTAAGCCCTTCAGGAGGTGTGGTGGTGAGGGTGTCAAGTCAAAGCAGAATCAAAAGCTCTTCTTCGGTGTAGCTTTCCAAGCTTCTCAGACAAGATAATGAAGGACAGTTCTCTTCTTCACACTGGCCTGTCTTCTTGAACCATGTCATTCTGCTGCTCACTGCTGTCATCTGCCCAGGAAGGAAAAGCAGTGATCTGAATAAAGGTGACTCCTTTATCGATGGTCTTCCACCATCTGTGTCTTCAATCATCTCAATTTCTAGTCCTTCCCTCGTGAACCAGAATTGGATTTTATGAAGGAGCAGACAGGGTGGGGTGTGTGTTCCCCTTTGCACCTGTTGTTTTCACTCAACATCCTCTAGACGTGCTTAATGTCATCCGCCCTCCATACTCTTGGCTCATGCCATTCCTCTCACCCGGAGCACCTCTCTCCTTCCTGCTTATTTCAAACTCAGCTGGCCTGAAAGACCTGCCTCGTGTTCCATTTCTTCCATTAAGTTTCTCCCAACCAATGCACCCCTCAAGGCTCTCATCTTTCTCTGAGGTCCTATAATTTTTCAACAGATCATTCTTCAGGCAGTTAATCAAATCCCTCCTCTGCACTCTCAAAGTGTTGGTTAAAGGTTTCTTTTGTTTTAATTTTCCCCATGTTTTAGTCTGTTCACCCTAACTGGCCTTGTAAAGCCCCCTGCATGTGGATAGTATTGGTCTCCCTTTTCTATTCCCCAGCCATGTCAATATCATGCCCTTCCCAGAGCAATCCCTTGATAAATGTTTGTCAATTTGTGTTGGTAGCTGACAGCAGATTCTCAGGCATGAGGTGACAGTCTGTCTTCCCCAGCCTTTAAGAAACCAAACTCATCCCTTAGTTTTCTTACTGGGAAGCTCACCACAGTAGGAGCTCACTCACCGAAAGAGTGCTTTTACGGACAAACAGCCTACCTTGCAGAGCCTGGAGTCCCCTGCCCATCCGGTCTGCATTCCCATTCACCAGTGCAGTCACTCTATGAATGTGGACGTGCTTGTGTATTTCTTTGGGCAGCTCCTCCCTCTCATTTGCTGCCACCTCCTCCTCTGCAGTAGCATCCTCCTCCTCCACCTCTTCCTCTTCCGAATCCACCAAAACCATGATATCACCCATGTCTTGCCCCCTAATTTCCAAAGGAAAAGAAATAATCAAGAAGAAATCCTGTTTTTTCCAATGTCAGCCCTCACTGAATAGGGAGCACTAGATTCTTTACAACGCCTTTGGTAACATGGAAAAATTTTCGTGAACTTAACTTGGTTTAAGTCACAAGATGCCAGTGTGATTGTCACCTCTCAAAGAGATGCTGCCACAGATTGCCACAGACAGTCACATCTTTTCCTAGGTAAGTTTTATTATTCCCCAGCCCACACCAATCCCAGCTCCTCGAGCAGACCTCCTTGTCCCAGGCACCTAACATTTCAGTTCCCCTCACAGCTTACACATAAATGCTCTGTTCCTTTCCTGAAATGCCCTTATTTCTGCCCCACCTACTGAAATTTTTCCTCCTCCTCCTTATTCAAGGCCCAGATAAAGTCCTGCCCTGAAGCTCTAAACTACAATTGCATTTGGAGTCCATGCCCAGCAGTTTAGCACTTGTCTTCTAGTTTATTGCTCGTTTTGCCTACCCAGCCAGATTGTGCATTTCTTAAGGAAGGAAGAACACGCGCCATGGGCCAGTCACAGTCCTAGGAGCACTACATTCTCATCTGATCCCTCCAGTCTCCCTCTGGGAAACAGATGAGAAGACAAAGGCTCAGAGAGAGTCAGGGATTTTCCATGACCACAGGGCTTTGGAATGGCAGGGCTGGAATTTAAGCCCAGATCCACTAGTTCCAAAGCCTTTTCCCACTATGCCTCGCTGCCACCTCCTGTGAGAAAGAAGCCTGGGAATGACAGACTCACTGGGCCAATGGCCCTCAAGTAATGTTTTTCCCACAAAACATGGTCCCAGAACAATAAAATCTCCTCATTATGAGTGATGGTCCCAGAGCAATAATATCCTCTCATTATGAACAAGTAAAAAGTAAAGAGTTCTTTGCTCCCGCCCAGAATTTCCTAAGGAAATGAAATTACACAAGTTTTATTTAGCTACTTTGCCCCAGCTGAGGTTTCCTTTTGGGAGGGGCTTCTGGGCATGCTCAGACTAGTCTTGCAAAGCATGCTGTAGGACTATGACTTTTTCTTCCTTTTTCACTCTTCTTAGAAAATTAAATGCACAGATGACTGGGGTCAATACATACATACTGTCTTTATGCTTCAGTGACAGCCCAGCAATGTGCCCTGCCCTGAGGTCTGGCATTGAAAAAAAGGCACAGACTTGGAAATCAGTCAGACCTGGGTCTGAATGCAGGCACTGCTGTTTACTTTCTGGGTGAGCTTGCACAGATTACTTCACTGAGTCTCTGTCTCCCCATCTGGAAAATGGAGATGCACCCGTCCCCCTGAAGACGTCATGAAAGGGTTTATAATTCTGCCTAATGAAGCCCCAGGCCCAGGGTCTGGCATATGGTGGGTCCTCAGTGGAGGCTGCTATTACTGTGCTTGGGAAAGGCAGCAGAATGGCAATGAAGACAGACCATGGAAATGGGTTTCTGACTTGACTCTAGGGAACACTCACCTGAAAGTGTTTCCTACTGAAGGGAAAAAGGAAAAAAAGTTAATATCCAGTATCATCCACTTTGTTTTTAATCTAACTTACACAAAAGAAGGGACAAATGAGAAAGCTGACCCAACATGAGAAGTGGCAGGGTGTCCAGGAGTGGCACTTGGGTGCTTCATTATTGCACATGGGGATCAAATGAAGAAGCCCACAGGGTGGGACTTCAGGTGGGAGCATTAACAGGGGCCTCCTTCCCCCACCCACACCCTTTCAAGAAGCCTGAAAGATAGAGAGACCCAAGAAGTCCTTACCTTTCCAGCAGAACACAGGGCTGTAATAAAACATAAGCCCCGAGATAATGGCCAGTCCCAGCAGGAGGAGGCTCACAATGGTTCCCACAATTCCCCCGATATTTAAAGGTTCTGCAAAGATAAACCATGTTGTTGAGTCTTCCACCTGACACACATGCAGCTCAGGAGAGTGAACCTGCCTCTGCCTGGGTTCTAGTCTTATCTTGGTTTCAGGACCTTAGGCAAGACCTCTCTGTAAAGCAAGATAAATACCTCATCTTCCTACCTCAGACAGTTTGTGAAGGAATGTGATGTAAAAGAACACTGGAAAGTTAAAATCTACATGTCTATCAGACATCAGGACTGTTTATCAGAAAAGACAGTGTCTTCAATAAGTGGTATTGGGAAAACTGCACAGCTACATGCAAGAGAATGAAACTGGATTACTGTCTAATACTATACACAAAAGTAAACTCTAAATGGATTAAATACCTAAATATAAGACATGAAAACATAAAACTCTCCTAAGAAAACATAAGTAGAAACCTCTTGAGCATAATCATGTGTATTTTTTTCTGGATACATCTCCCTGGGCAAGGGAAACTAAAGCAAAACTAAAAAGTGGGACTATATGAAACTAAAAATAAAAGCTTCTGTATAGCAATAGAAGCCATCAACAAAACAAAAAGGTAACTTACGGTATGAGAGAACATATATGCAAATGATATGATCTGATAAGGGACTAACATCCGAAATATATGAAGAACACACACCTCAACACCAAAAAAACAAATAACCCAATTAAAAAGTGGGAAGACGACCTGAGTGGACATTTTTCCAAAGAAGAAATACAGGTGGACAACAGACACATGAAAAGATGCTCCACGTCACTAATCATCAAGGAAATGCAAGTCAAAACTAATGAGATATCACCTCACACCAGTCAGAATGGCCACTATCCAAAAGACAAGAAATAACAAGTGCTTGCAAGAATGTGGAGAAAGGGGAACCCTCCTGCACTGTTGGTGGGAATATAAATTGGTGCAGCCACTATGGAAAACAGCGTGGAGGGTCCTCAAAAAACTAAAAAGAGAAATACTGTATGACCCAGTAATTGCACTTCTAGGAATTTATCCAAAGAAAACAAAATCTGATTTGAAAAGATACGGGCACCCGTATGTTTACTGCCACATTATTCACTGTAGCCAAGATACGGAAGCAACCAAAGTGTCCACCAGTAGGTGAGTGGATAAAGAAGATGTGGTACATATACACACTGGAATATTATTCAGCCATAAAAAAGAAACTTTGCCATTTGCCACTCCATAGATGGACCTGGATGGTTTTATGCTATGCTAAGTGAAATAAACCAGGCAGAGAAAGACAAATATCATATGATTTCACTTTTATGTGGAATCTGAAAACAAAAACAAAATTAACTAACAAAATGGCAATAGACTCATGGAGACTAAGAAGGGAATAGTGGTTGCCAGGGGGCAGTGGGTTGAAACAAGTAAAACAGGGGTGGGTGGATGAAACAGGTAAAGGGGATAAAGAGGCACAAAATCTCAACCAAAAAAAAAAAAAAAAAGACTCTGTTTATAAGGCCTCAGTAATTAAGAGTGTGACTTATTGGTGTTGCAATAAACAGTGATCAATAGAACAAAGCAGAGACTCCAAGAACCAGGCCCCCACACTTTAGGAAACTTGATAATTGACAGATGAGTGGGTAAAGAGGAACTGTTTTAGAAATTGTGCTGGAACAAATGGTTATACAAATTTGTGGGGGGGGGGAGGGTGTGGAGGGAACCTGATCCCTACCTCATGCCATTCACAAAAATGGATTAAAGATTTAACTGTGAAGCAAAAAACGTTAAAATTTTTAGAATATAGGATAATATCTTTGTGACCATGTAATAGATAAGGATTTCTTACAACATAAAAACTACTACTGATAAAAGATTCATAAAATCAACTACCTTAACATAAGAATGCTAATCAAAGGATACCATAAAGAAAGCAAAAAAAGACAAAAGGCAAACTGAAGTGACATACTTGTAACACATAAAACTCACAAGGAATTAATATGCAGAATTTCTAAAAAATTCTACATATCTATAAGAAAAGAGGAACTGTCAAAAGACACAGATATGTATTTCTAAGAAGAAACACAAATAGCAAACATTTGAAATAATGCTCAATCTTTTTAGTAACCAGAAGAAGTCAAATTAGAACCATAGTAAGATTCCATTTTACACCCTGGATGGGCAAAAATCACAAAGCCTACAAGAAAAATCTGAACTACTTGACACTCATACACTGCTCCTGAGAATGGAAACTGGTAAAACCACTCTGATAATTTGGTGTTACCCCAGAAAGCTAAAAACGTGCATGCCCTATAAACCATTTTTATTCCTTGTATGTATCATAGAGAAATATTTGCCTAGGGACCCATCGTATCTGTACACCAGGAGCTGGGTAAAGAATTTCATAGCACTGTTTTGTCACAACAAAAAAACAGAAACAAAGGCTCATCAGCAAGAAAGTAAATATCTTAGTGGTGGAACAGTAACACAATGGAAAATTACACAGCAGTAAAGAGGTGTGAAGTATAATTAGATGCATTGGCATGAATAAACCCTAGAAACAAAATGTGGGGTGAAAAGAGCGAATCCCAAAAGTGGGTCTACATTTATATGGTGGTGATCGTTTTTTGAAGCTCAAAAGCAAATAAAAATAAGCAATGTCTTATTTAGAAACGTGTACATATGAAGTGAATTTTTTCTTAAATAAAACATGATATTCAAGACAGTGGTTACCTTTTTCAGGAGGCCCAGGATGAGACTGGAGGGGGGCCCACAGGTAGGGTTGCCAATAAAATACATTCCACCCACTTAAATTTGGGATTTCAGATAAGTAACAAATTTAGAATAAGTATGTTCCATGAAATATTTGGGACACACACTAAAAACATCCTTTGTTTTTCTGAAATACAAATATAAGTGGGTATCCTGGTTAGTTTATGTTTTGTTTTGGTAGTTTGTTGTTTCCTAAATCTGGCCACACTACCTATAGTAACTTCAGCCATGTTGGCACTGGTCTATTATTTTAAGTGGGATGGTAGTTTCCTAGGTGTTCATTTTGCTATTATTTACAAATATATATTTTTATTTCAACTATATTTTATATTTACATATGTTTCTCATAGTCTCTGGGACATAACATTTTTTTTAATCCCTATGCATATGTTAGAGATTTAGGACTGAACAATAATTTTTGCATCTACCTTAAGTCATAGGCAAGCAGACAGGCCTCCTCTCAGATGGCAGCAACCTACATGTAGGGAAGCACCAAGCTGTCCCCATGCTGTGCCAGGTTTTCTGAAGCTCTCAGCCTTCCTTCTCTGGGGCCACTTCCACCACTCACCTTCCACACTCAGCCAGATATCCACTTCCCTCACCCCCAGGGGGTTCTCAGCCCGGCAGACGTAGTAGCCCTTATCCAGGTCCTGGGAACAGTTGCGGATGGTAAGGGTGGAGCTCTGGCTATTCTGGGTGATGAGATAGTGGCCACTGGGCTGGATGACCAACTCCGGCTGGGTGAGGTTCCTCAGCCACAGGACCTTGGCAGGGGGGTATGCCCCAGACACTTGACAGGTGAGTGTCACATTGCCCCCAACAAAGCAAGTCTTCATGGGCTCAGAGAGAAGGGAGGGGCTCCCTGATAATAGGAAGAAGGTAAAGAAAAGACAAATATTTATGGAGATTCAAGATATGGCCTAAAAGTTTCAAGATTATTTCTTTCCTAACAAAGCAACCCCAGCGATTTCCAAATCATACTTGGTCTCATATAATAAGAGAAGCTAACATTTATTCAGCATATACTATGGGCTAGGCAGTTACACTGTTAACCCAATTAGCTCTCGCAACAACCCTGTCAGTATCCCCATTTTGCAGAAGAAGCTGAAGCCTAGAGAAAATCAGGTAATTTGCTCAACATCACACACTAAATAAGGGTTTCTCAGGACTTGGGGCTTTTAGTGCTAAAATTGGGAAAGTCTTGGGCAAACCAGGGTGAGTTGCTAACTCATCCTGTAAGATTGGAATCCAGGTAATTGGGCTTGTAGTCCACATTCCTTACTTCTGTGTATAATTATATTGCTCATATGAAAATGGACACATAGGGTGTTCAAGGGGATAATAAAGCAGCTGTATTGGTTTCTGTTTGCTGCCATAACAATATGTTACACACTTAGTGGCTTAAAACAACATGAATTTATCCTTTTATAGATCTGGAGACCAGAAGCCTAAGATGACCCTACAGGGCTAAAATCAAGGTGTTGGCAGAGCTAGTTCCCTACAGAGGCTCTGGAGCAGAATCCATTTCCTTTGGCAGCTTCCCAAAGCCCTCTGCATTGTTTGGCTCATGGTCCCTTCCTTGCATCCCTCAAACCTCTTGCATCTGTCATCACATCTCCTGCTACTGGCTCTGACCCTCCTGCCTCCCTTTTATAAGGACCTTGTGACGACACTGGGCCCATCCAGGCAATCCAGAATAACCTCCCCATCTCAAAGTCCTTAATTACATCTGCAAAGTGCCTTTTGACATAAAAGTGCCTTTTGTAATATATTTGCAGGGTTCTGGGGATTTAGATGTGGGAATCTTTGCATCTACCACAGATCTACCCTAGAAAACTCAGAACGTGGCATCCCTGTAGCCTCGGTGTCTGATTTGAGCAAACACGGGGAGCTGTAACATCTACCATGGCAATCCATTTGTTTTCTTTAGACAAGAAGTCTTTTCCCAAAATGTGCACCCTTGTGGGAGAATTCCTCTTGGGGGGGTTTATTAAATCCATACTTTCAGCAGCTGAAAGACAGATTGGCATGTTGGGTTCCTCTCGGGGAGAGTGAAACTACACACCTTCCCTTGGCAGTTGTTCCAAGAGAGAATCTAGGGTTTCACTGCTGGCGCCTTGGGGAAGGGAAGTCGGGGAGGAGGGTGGGTATAACAGCCCCAAAGCCTCTCTCTTGAAATCAGGTCAACAAAAGAGAATCCCCAAACCTCTTTTTGCTTAGGAAACA